GTATTACTAATGAAGCTTGGGTACTTGTTCATTAGTGAACAGGTAACATTAATTGTAGCCTAAATTAAAATGACTACTTTATGGTTTACCTCACTTGAGGTTGAATGTACCTACCTACCTAACAACAAATAGCTAGATATTTTGTGTACTGTCTGAACTCCACCACTAGTTCTCGTCCGGTTAGCTCATCCTTATCACCATCAGAGTTAATGGAGATAATCCAGCAATACACAAAATAGATACACAAAATAATGTATACAAGAGAAATATTATGGAGATACTCCAATCAGAGTTATCTCAAAAATTTATCCCACCCTGTAGAGGGTCAGCACAATAACGTAATATATACACAACACTGACTAGTTTTAGATCTAGTCATAATAATTCCTAGCTAAGAACTATAAAATTATTTAGTCTGGGCTTGTACCAAATTCAGCACAATCTCAGCCTAAATTCTACCTAATAACATGGGTAAAGATTATTGTGGTGCAATAAGGTAAATATAGTTGTGCTGTATTTTTGGGTTTTTTGTTTTATAAGAGTGCTCTTGCACACACAGGTGAATAATTATGTACAGTTAAGTTTGGCTTTCTAGCCACAGCCTTTTGTGATGGTTGATGGTGTTAATTAACTTGTCAACCACATGCAACCTAGATTCCCCTGACAAATGTACACCGTCTCTGGTCAGGTTCTGTCTGTAAGGTCTGGCTGTAAATTGTATATATGTGGCTTCCAATCTCACTCGTTTTTTCAGCCTGAAATTTATGTACTTAGCAGCTCTCAGGTAGTATTCCGGAGTTACTCCCCAACGATTATCTTGGCTAGGTTGGCGAGGCTCCACTAATGTGAATACTACTGATTCACTGATGAGCTTGAAAGAAGAAATTATGTTTTTGAGGTGTTTGATCACCTCGGCTGGATGACGAGTGGGGTGGATGTCATTACCACCTAAGTATATGATAGTTAGGTGGTGAGGCCACTCTAACGCAGGTGTTAGGGTGGTGTTATTGTAAAAGTTGTGAGCTGTTGCTCCTGGTGACCTAAAGATTCTCACCTCGGTGTGAGGTATAGGTCTAAGTGTTGTGGGTAATTGGCTATGACCCACTAAAGCCACTTTATACATGAGATAAAGGTAGCCATATGTTAGTGTGATCTAGACTAACTGATGTGTTACAATGTTAGTTGACACAATTGATTAAATAGTTAGTCTAGCTTCTATCACACAAGGATTAGTTATTAATGGTTAATATTTTAATTATAAATTTAATGCCTATCCGGTTCGAAAAGGACCATAATGTGGGATATTTGGGTTTGATTCTGATTAATTAATAATTAAAGTAGTAAATTAAATTACGAAGGACCACCCGCTTTTAAAGTAAAGAGGGAAACTGAGAATTTCAGATCATTAGATAAAATTCTAGAGAAAACCAGTGACTATGGATATGACTAGAAAGTATGATCATAAGAATAATTAATGGGCTGTATTATTAAAACCAAACCTCAAACACCTACATTGGGGGGTTATTACTGGAGGTCAGTACGTCCAGGAATCAGTGTGGTTCGTTCACTAATTCTATTAATAATAATCTAATCCTATAATTAATGTAGAATATAATATTATTCATACAAAGAAGAACATGAATATGAGTATAATAATGAATTACAGTAAATCACACATTATGTTGAAAACATTCTGAATGTATCAAATTGCAATGTTACGAGTAAAAGAAATAAGCCTTAGCTGGTAATAGATTCCTTTAGATAACCCTGGCAGTCCTCTTAATCTCCAAGGCTGGTACACCGACGTCTGACACGGTTAACATGGAGAAGACAGCATGAGGAATTCGTCTCTCGAGCTGCAAAATAAATAACTACCAGTAGCAATTGATTTAACTACTCAATACATATTCAAGATTATTGATATCTACAGAGAAATTTCTAATCACCTGTTATTAGGTGTTGTCGTGCCGCGTGACGCGCAATCACCCCGCTATTATTAAACCTGTAAATGATGCATCAAATAAAAGGTACTTAGCTGTGGGCACTGTGTAAGTATTGAGATTGCCGTAATTTCGCATCCCAGGCTCCGGTGAACCTATCCTGGATTGATGCGTTTCTAGTTGGCTGATCACGTGTCGTCAGGAACCAAGTCTAGGGGTCCCTTATTTAACACCAGCACTAGTTGAAGATATTATCTGCAAGGTCGTTCACGCCTCACAGTGGCGGCTTTCATCTGTAGATAGACACACGTGTCCTATTTGCTGGACAGTGGCGTCTTTTGTGCGTACGTTAAGCGCAGGTCTGCCTCTCTTCGGTTCCCCACGTGTACGCGCACCGACTCCCTCACCGAGTGTGCATGGCGTCGCGTCCCTCCCCCCACGCCGAGTCGACGTTCATTACACAAATTATTGGCATGAACATTAATATTTCTCGCATTCGCGCTTGAAACTCTAAAGACTGGACGGGTTTATTATTTAGAGGAACGAAATATTATTATTTAACTATTTAAGAATAGTAAAGATACAAGGGAGAGGAATTAATGTCTCCCCATAGCATTCATTGATGACGTTAACACTATCGCGAGGTAGACGGTATAAATCTAACGCTCTATTCGGCCTTTAGTTAGAGAACAATTCGTCTGCAATCAGTTGTCATACAGAATGCCTTAATTATGGAGAATCGTATTTAATTCTCACACAAATTGTATATAATGTGTTTTACTGTAAAGAAATCTGACGCAATACTAGCGTTAGATGACGTGAGAATTCTAGCCTAATGCACAGATGAATTATTAGTACAGGAGAATTCTACGAGTTGTTAATTTTACTTACTACAATATTAATATGATTAGTAATAAGTAATGAGAATACAACAATGTTGTATTCGATGTTGGAAATATCCAACATCTCCCAACATCTCAAACCCCTCAACATTCTTACCTCCCAACATCCCTACCCCTTTACATTCTTATCTCCCAACATCCTTACCCCTCAACATTCTTATCTCCCAACATCACTACCCCTCAACATTTTTACATCAGTACCCCTCAACATTCTTACATCCCTACCCTCAACATTCATACCTCCCAACATCCCTACCCATCAACATTCTTATCTACCAATATCCCTACCCCTCAACATTCTTATCTCCCAACATCCCTACCCTTCAACATTCTCATCTCCCAACATCCCTAAACCTCAACATTCTTACCTCCCAACATCCCTACCCCTTAACTTTCTTATCTCCCAACATCCCTACCACTCAACATTCTTATCTCCCAATATCCCTACCCGTCAACATTCTTACATCCCTACCTCTCAACATTCATACCTCCCAACATCCATACCCCTCAACATTCTTATCTCCCAACATCCCTACTCCTAAACATTCTTATCTCCCACCATCTCTACCCCTCAACATTCTTACCTCCCAACATTCCTACCCCTGAACATTCTTACGTCCCTACCCCTCAACATTCTTATCTCCCAATATCACTACCCCTCAACATTCTTATCTCCCAACATCCCTACCCTTCAACATTCTTATCTCCCAACATCTCTACCCCTCAACATTCTTATCTCCCAATATCCCTACCCGTCAACATTCTTACATCCCTACCTCTCAACATTCATACCTCCCAACATCCCTACCCCTCAACATTCTTATCTCCCAATATCACTACCCCTCAACATTCTTACCTCCGAACATCTCTACCCCTCAACATTCTTACCTCCCAACATCACTGCCTCTCAACATTCTTAACTCCCAATATCCCTACCCCTCAAAATTCTTACCTCCCAACATCACTACCTCTCAACATTCTTACCTCCAAACATCCCTACCTAAACATTCTTACCTCCCAACATCCCTACCTCTCAACATTCTTTCCTCCCAACATCCCTACCTCTCAAAATTCTTACCTCCTAACATCACTACCTCTCAACATTCTTACCTCCCAACATCCCTACCTAAACATTCTTACCTCCCAACATCCCTACCTCTCAACATTCTTACCTCCCAACATCACTACCTCTCAACATTCATACCTCCCAACATCCATACCCCTCAACATTCTTATCTCTCAATATCCCTACTCCTCAACATTCTTATCTCCCAACATCTCTACCCCCTCAACATTCTTTCCTCCCAACATTCCTTCCCCTCAACCTTCTTGGATCCCTACCCCTCAACATTCTTATCTCCCAATATCACTACCCCTCAACATTCTTACCTCCGAACATCTCTACCCCTCAACATTCTTACCTCCCAACATCACTGCCTCTCAGCATTCTTACCTCCCAATATCCCTACCCCTCAAAATTCTTACCTCCCAACATCACTACCTCTCAACATTCTTACCTCCCAACATTCCTACCTAAACATTCTTACCTCCCAACATCCCTACCCCTCAACATTCTTACCTCCCAACATCACTATCTCTCAACATTCTTACCTCCCAACATCCCTACCCCTCAACATTCTTACCTCCCAATATCCCCACCCTATTCCTACCCATCCATCCTTAAATCCACAACAATTGTTTATAAATTCCTTCACCCTCTTGAGATTATCTTGCGGTTATCTTGCGGTTATCTTGATATTATCTTCAGCAACAAATCCAACCTAACTAAATTATCTACATCACTGATATCCATCTGAAGTATAATGGCCTGACCCCCTTTACTTTAGGTTAGTACCTACTGTGTTTAATTTCTGTTAGATTCATTATCTAGGTTGATTAAAAATGCATGTTAGGCCAGTCTTCTCGGCGTTGCTTATGATTTTCGGCTGCCAGCAGTGGTGGTACGAGTGCTGGTACTCGTTGACAAGCGAGCACCTGCACCAGCTGCGGCGGCAGGTGGTACTCTGGCAGAACACATAGGGTGGTGTCACACACCTGGTCAAGCAGCTGGCTGCAAAATTGAATTTTCGCAGCCCCTAACCCAGCTGCGACTTAAAACTCTTCGAAGAGGAACAGGAGTCCTGGCAGAGTTTGCCGCATGTTGGGTTACTCCTGCGGCACCGGCAGCATCTACGGAAGGTTGAGGGCCTGCAGTCCTTCCTGTTGCAGGTCGGGGTGGTGCCAGTGAGTGCCACTAATACCCCCAGCTGCCCTTGTCAGGGCATGCTGCCATGGCAGGCCATCATGCCCATCGCAGCTGGCCTGCTCCTCTACCTTTACCATTCGGCGATCACCGAAAAGTTGTAGAGTTTGCGGTATGCAGCAGAACGCCGCAAGGAAAGGCAGCAGCAGAAGAAGTACCTTAAAGGCAAGGAGGGCCGCGAGTCCGGGGATGAAGACAAGGAGGACCGCGAGTCCGGGGATGAAGTGAATAAGGACCGGGAGTCCGGGGATGAAGTGAATAAGGACCGGGAGTCCGGGGATGAAGTGAATAAGGACCGGGAGTCCGGGGATGAAGTGAATAAGGACCGGGAGTCCGGGGATGAAGACAAGGAGGACCGGGAGTCCGGGGATGAAGACAAGGAGGACCGGGAGTCCGGGGATGAAGACAAGGAGGACCGGGAGTCCGGGGATGAAGTGAATAAGGACCGGGAGTCCGGGGATGAAGAAAAGGAGGGTCGGGAGTCCGAGGATGAAGTGAATAAGGACCGGGAGTCCGGGGATGAAGTGAATAAGGACCGGGAGTCCGGGGATGAAGATAAGGAGGACCGGGAGTCCGGGGATGAAGTGAATAAGGACCGGGAGTCCGGGGATGAAGTGAATAAGGACCGGGAGTCCGAGGATGAAGTGAATGAGGACCGGGAGTCCAAGGATGAAGTGAATAAGGACCGGGAGTCCGAGGATGAAGACAAGGAGGACCGGGAGTCCGAGGATGAAGTGAATAAGGACCGGGAGTCCGGGGATGAAGAAAAGGAGGGCCGGGAGTCCGAGGATGAAATGAATAAGGACCGGGAGTCCGGGGATGAAGTGAATAAGGACCGGGAGTCCGGGGATGAAGTGAATAAGGACCGGGAGTCCGGGGATGAAGACAAGGAGGACCGGGAGTCCGGGGATGAAGTGAATAAGGACCGGGAGTCCGGGGATGAAGACAAGGAGGACCGGGAGTCCGGGGATGAAGTGAATAAGGACCGGGAGTCCGAGGATGAAGTGAATAAGGACCGGGAGTCCGGGGATGAAGACAAGGAGGACCGGGAGTCCGGGGATGAAGACAAGGAGGACCGGGAGTCCGGGGATGAAGACAAGGAGGACCGGGAGTCCGGGGATGAAGACAAGGAGGACCGGGAGTCCGGGGATGAAGACAAGGAGGACCGGGAGTCCGAGGATGAAGTGAATAAGGACCGGGAGTCCGGGGATGAAGTGAATAAGGACCGGGAGTCCGGGGATGAAGATAAGGAGGACCGGGAGTCCGGGGATGAAGTGAATAAGGACCGGGAGTCCGGGGATGAAGTGAATAAGGACCGGGAGTCCGAGGATGAAGTGAATAAGGACCGGGAGTCCGAGGATGAAGTGAATAAGGACCGGGAGTCCGAGGATGAAGACAAGGAGGACCGGGAGTCCGAGGATGAAGTGAATAAGGACCGGGAGTCCGGGGATGAAGAAAAGGAGGGCCGGGAGTCCGAGGATGAAGTGAATAAGGACCGGGAGTCCGGGGATGAAGTGAATAAGGACCGGGAGTCCGGGGATGAAGTGAATAAGGACCGGGAGTCCGGGGATGAAGTGAATAAGGACCGGGAGTCCGAGGATGAAGTGAATAAGGACCGGGAGTCCGGGGATGAAGACAAGGAGGACCGGGAGTCCGGGGATGAAGACAAGGAGGACCGGGAGTCCGGGGATGAAGTGAATAAGGACCGGGAGTCCGGGGATGAAGACAAGGAGGACCGGGAGTCCGGGGATGAAGTGAATAAGGACCGGGAGTCCGAGGATGAAGTGAATAAGGACCGGGAGTCCGAGGATGAAGTGAATAAGGACCGGGAGTCCGGGGATGAAGTGAATAAGGACCGGGAGTCCGGGGATGAAGTGAATAAGGACCGGGAGTCCGAGGATGAAGTGAATAAGGACCGGGAGTCCGGGGATGAAGACAAGGAGGACCGGGAGTCCGGGGATGAAGTGAATAAGGACCGGGAGTCCGAGGATGAAGTGAATAAGGACCGGGAGTCCGAGGATGAAGTGAATAAGGACCGAGAGTCCGGGGATGAAGACAAGGAGGACCGGGAGTCCGGGGATGATGACAAGGAGGACCGGGAGTCCGGGGATGATGACAAAGAGGACCGGGAGTCCGGGGATGAAGTGAATAAGGACCGGGAGTCCGGGGATGAAGACAAGGAGGACCGGGAGTCCGGGGATGAAGTGAATAAGGACCGGGAGTCCGGGGACGAAGTGAATAAGGACCGGGAGTCCGGGGATGAAGTGAATAAGGACCGGGAGTCCGGGGATGAAGACAAGGAGGACCGGGAGTCCGGGGATGAAGTGAATAAGGACCGGGAGTCCGGGGACGAAGTGAATAAGGACCGGGAGTCCGGGGATGAAGTGAATAAGGACCGGGAGTCCGGGGATGAAGACAAGGAGGACCGGGAGTCCGGGGATGAAGTGAATAAGGACCGGGAGTCCGGGGATGAAGTGAATAAGAACCGGGAGTCCGGGGATGAAGACAAGGAGGACCGGGAGTCCGAGGATACTCCCAAGAAGGTCTGGCCATTTCCTTCGTTGGAGAGTATATACAAAAAATTAGGCAAGGAATGGAAGGGAGACAGTGCGGTAGGTAAGGGCGAAGGGTATGATGGCCCCTGCAGGTTCCGCCGGCCCTTCTCTGCCAGCGGAACCGGCAGAGAAGGACTTGGGTATGTGCCCAAGGAGGACAGTGGGTATAATTGACAAGATATGGTGCAATATAACCTGCCCGGCTTGGTGCATTCTTCTGATAACTACTTGCTGACCGAACAGATCAACTACGATGAGGAATAGTGAGGCAGAGGAGAGAAGGCAAGAGACTTGAGGTAAGAGAGGATAAGGGAGGAATATTGAGGTAGAGAAGAAGGCAAGAGAGGATAAGGGAAGTATCCTCCATGCATACTGCTCCCCACGCAACAGAGGCAGAAAGGGTAAGAAAATGACCAAAAGAGGTGGAGCAATCTTAACAGGAGTGTGTGTGTGTGTCTGTGTGGGGGAAGGTGGTGAAGGGTAGGAAAGGTGGTGAAGGGTAGGGAAGGTGGTGAAGGGTAGGGAAGGTGGTGAAGGGTAGGGAAGGTGGTGAAGGGTAGGGAAGGTGGTGAAGGGTAGGGAAGGTGGTGAAGGGTAGGGAAGGTGGTGTAGGGTAGGGAAGGTGGTGAAGGGTAGGGAAGGTGGTGTAGGGTAGGGAAGGTGGTGAAGGGTAGGGAAGGTGGTGAAGGGTAGGGAAGGTGGTGTAGGGTAGGGAAGGTGGTGAAGGGTAGGGAAGGTGGTGAAGGGTAGGGAAGGTGGTGAAGGGTAGGGAAGGTGGTGAAGGGTTGCGAAGGTGGTGAAGGGCAGGGAAGGTGGTGATTGGTAGGGAAGGTGGTGAATGGTAGGGAAGGTGGTGAAGGGTAGGGAAGGTGGTGAAGGGTAGGGAAGGTGGTGAAGGGTTGGGAAGGTGGTGAAGGGCAGGGAAGGTGGTGAATGGTAGGGAAGGTGGTGAAGGGCAGGGAAGGTGGTGAATGGTAGGGAATATGGTGAAGGGTAGGGAAGGTAGTGAAGGGCAGGGAAGGTGGTGAAGGGTAGGGAAGTTGGTGAAGGGTAGGGAAGGTGGTGAAGGGTAGGGAAGGTGGTGAAGGGTTGGGAAGGTGGTGAAGGGCAGGGAAGGTGGTGAATGGTAGGGAAGGTGGTGAAGGGCAGGGAAGGTGGTGAATGGTAGGGAATATGGTGAAGGGTAGGGAAGGTGGTGAAGGGCAGGGAAGGTGGTGAAGGGTAGGGAAGGTGGTGAAGGGTAGGGAAGTTGGTGAAGAGTAGGGAAGATTGTGTAAGGTAGGGAAGTTGGTGAAGGGTAGGGAAGGTGGTGAAGGGTAGGGAAGGTGGAGAAGGGTAGGGAAGGTGGTGAAGGGTAGGAAAGGTTTTTTTTTTGACAGGGATATTCCTGAGCGGGCCCTAAGCCTCTGGCTGGCCCACTAAGTATTGCTTGTTTCTGTTTTACTTGAGCGGAGTATGATTATTTATGACTCGTATGGTCGCTTCAGTAAGATTTTGCCATAAGTGTTTAACAACTTCTTCTGCTCTGTTGAATCTAAGTTGAAATCTTAATGGGTTTGTAACTTTTCACTGTGTTAGATGATGTTCCATAGGTCTGTCGGGCATTTCTCCACAGTGCTGACATTTCCTCTCATCTTCCGGAACCTGTAAGCCTATTTCCCATGCACATGGGTATCCAAGCCTGATGCTATATAAGTGTACTTCTGTTGCTCTACTGCTCCCTTTCATCAGTCTAAGTGGTTCGTAGTTGGTTGAATTCTTGTACCAACCCGCAGATCCTAATGTTGCAACTGCTGCGTTGTGGTCACTGTACATCTTTTGCATTGCTCTGTTTCTAAATACTTTCCTAATCTATGATAAACTTTGTTGTATGTAACTCTGGGAGTTGAATTTGTACATAAATATTTTTTTTAACAGTGGATATTGTCTACAGTGGTGGTTGTGTGGTTGTGGCTGTGGCTGTGTGGTAGTTGTGGCTGTGTGGTCGTGGCTAAAGCTTCAAGCACAGTGTAACCGTTCAAGATGACTGTGATGGGGTGCACAAAACATTGTTCAGCTTCACAAGAAGTTACTCCACATAAGGAATAACCTCCTTGAATACCTTCACACAAGGAATATTACATAATTTTTAAAAAGAAAGCTTCTACACTTAAATATATATTTTTTAATGTAATGTTTAAATTCAAGTCTTCACCCCAATTCAAAATTAACAAAAAAAATTAAGAGAGGTCAACTTTTCTTGCTTCTTGGGTATTTGTTTTACTTATTTTTCTTTAATATTAAATATATTCCAAATTTCTAGGCATTAATTTCAACCTCGTTATTATCTCTTAAATTAGCTGATAAAACCCTTTTTGAAATAATGTAAATCTTGATAAAAGTATTATGGTAGCAAGAGCAACATTTAAGAGATTAAAATAAGATATAATGGTATTCGAACCTGTTCCATCTTTACCATATGCTTTTATGTGGCTTTCATAACTTTTATGTAGCTTTTGGACGTGCAGCTTAAAGCTTTGTGTTGCGCTTATCAACCACAGGAAGGTTACCAAGGCTATCAACCATACTAATGTTACCAAGGCTATCAACCATACTAATGTTACCAAGGCTATCAACCATACTAATGTTACCAAGGCTATCAACCACAGGAAGGTTACCAAGGCTTATCAACCATACTAATGTTACCAAGGCTATCAACCACAGGAAGGTTACCAAGGCTATCAACCATACTAATGTTACCAAGGCTATCAACCACAGGAAGGTTACCAAGGCTTATCAACCATACTAATGTTACCAAGGCTATCAACCACAGGAAGGTTACCAAGGCTATCAACCATACTAATGTTACCAAGGCTATCAACCACAGGAAGGTTACCAAGGCTATCAACCATACTAATGTTACCAAGGCTATCAACCACAGGAAGGTTACCAAGGCTTATCAACCATACTAATGTTACCAAGGCTATCAACCACAGGAAGGTTACCAAGGCTATCAACCATACTAATGTTACCAAGGCTATCAACCACAGGAAGGTTACCAAGGCTATCAACCATACTAATGTTACCAAGGCTATCAACCACAGGAAGGTTACCAAGGCTATCAACCATACTAATGTTACCAAGGCTATCAACCACAGGAAGGTTACCAAGGCTATCAACCATACTAATGTTACCAAGGCTATCAACCACAGGAAGGTTACCAAGGCTATCAACCATACTAATGTTACCAAGGCTATCAACCACAGGAAGGTTACCAAGGCTTATCAACCACAGGAAGGTTACCAAGGCTATCAACCATACTAATGTTACCAAGGCTATCAACCACAGGAAGGTTACCAAGGCTATCAACCATACTAATGTTACCAAGGCTATCAACCACAGGAAGGTTACCAAGGCTATCAACCATACTAATGTTACCAAGGCTATCAACCACAGGAAGGTTACCAAGGCTTATCAACCACAGGAAGGTTACCAAGGCTATCAACCATACTAATGTTACCAAGGCTATCAACCACAGGAAGGTTACCAAGGCTATCAACCATACTAATGTTACCAAGGCTATCAACCACAGGAAGGTTACCAAGGCTATCAACCATACTAATGTTACCAAGGCTATCAACCACAGGAAGGTTACCAAGGCTTATCAACCACAGGAAGGTTACCAAGGCTATCAACCATACTAATGTTACCAAGGCTATCAACCACAGGAAGGTTACCAAGGCTATCAACCATACTAATGTTACCAAGGCTATCAACCACAGGAAGGTTACCAAGGCTATCAACCATACTAATGTTACCAAGGCTATCAACCACAGGAAGGTTACCAAGGCTATCAACCATACTAATGTTACCAAGGCTATCAACCACAGGAAGGTTACCAAGGCTATCAACCATACTAATGTTACCAAGGCTATCAACCACAGGAAGGTTACCAAGGCTATCAACCACAGGAAGGTTACCAAGGCTATCAACCATAGGAAGGTTACCAAGGCTATCAACCACAGGAAGGTTACCAAGGCTATCAACCACAGGAAGGTTACCAAGGCTATCAACCACAGGAAGGTTACCAAGGCTTATCAACCACAGGAAGGTTACCAAGGCTATCAACCACAGGAAGGTTACCAAGGCTTATCAACCACAGGAAGGTTACCAAGGCTATCAACCACAGGAAGGTTACCAAGGCTATCAACCACAGGAAGGTTACCAAGGCTATCAACCACAGGAAGGTTACCAAGGCTATCAACCACAGGAAGGTTACCAAGGCTATCAACCACAGGAAGGTTACCAAGGCTATCAACCACAGGAAGGTTACCAAGGCTTATCAACCACAGGAAGGTTATCAAGGCTATCAACCACAGGAAGGTTACCAAGGCTATCAACCACAGGAAGGTTACCAAGGCTATCAACCACAGGAAGGTTACCAAGGCTATCAACCACAGGAAGGTTACCAAGGCTATCAACCACTGGAAGGTTACCAAGGCTTATCAACCACAGGAAGGTTACCAAGGCTATCAACCACAGGAAGGTTACCAAGGCTTATCAACCACAGGAAGGTTACCAAGGCCTATCAACCACATGAAGGTTACCAAGGCTTATCAACCACAGGAAGGTTACCAAGGCTATCAACCACAGGAAGGTTACCAAGGCCTATCAACCACAGGAAGGTTACCAAGGCCTATCAACCACAGGAAGGTTACCAAGGCCTATCAACCACAGGAAGGTTACCAAGGCTATCAACCACAGGAAGGTTACCAAGGCTATCAACCACAGGAAGGTTACCAAGGCTATCAACCACAGGAAGGTTACCAAGGCTTATCAACCACAGGAAGGTTACCAAGGCTATCAACCACAGGAAGGTTACCAAGGCTTATCAACCACAGGAAGGTTACCAAGGCCTATCAACCACATGAAGGTTACCAAGGCTTATCAACCACAGGAAGGTTACCAAGGCTTATCAACCACAGGAAGGTTACCAAGGCCTATCAACCACAGGAAGGTTACCAAGGCTTATCAACCACAGGAAGGTTACCAAAGCTATCAACCACAGGAAGGTTACCAAGGCTTATCAACCACAGGAAGGTTACCAAGGCCTATCAACCACAGGAAGGTTACCAAGGCTTATCAACCACAGGAAGGTTACCAAGGCTTATCAACCACAGGAAGGTTACCAAGGC